TAGTCCCTAAAATAGAAGTTTAAGTCGTAGGATTAGACTGTAGTTAGAATTGTATGAAAATGACTCAAGAATAGAGTTTTGATGGTTCTAATAGTTATGTATGATGATTTTAGACTTAGGAGCGTGTTCAGATGTTGATTTGGAGGTCAGTATGTCATTTCGACATTAATTAGCGAAAGTTGGAAAATTAGATGATTTTTGGAAAGTTTGATCGGGAGTGGACGTTTTGATATCGGAGTCAGATTCTGATTCCGGAAGTGGGAGTAGGTTCGTAATGTCAATTATGACTTGTGTGCAAAATTTGAGATCAATCGGACTTGATTTGATAGGTTTCGGCATCGAATGTAGAAGTTGAAAGTTCTAAAGTTCATTAGGCTTGAATCGATGTACAATTCGTGTTTCTAGCATTGTTTGATGTGATCTGAAGGCTCGACTAAGTTCGTATGATGTTTTGAAACTTCTTGGTATATTTGGTTGAGGTCCCGTGGGCCTTGGGTGGATTCTGGATGATTAACGGAATGAAAATTAGACTTAGAACACATCTGGAAATTTTTTCCTTCTGGTTCAATCGCACCTGCAGAATTTTGCTCGCAGGTGTGAGCTCGCAGAAGCGTGCATCGAAGAGCAAAAACGGAAAAGGGCTGAGTGTGGCAGTGGCCACAGGTGCGCGTGAATGACCACAGAAGCGGAGTCACATCTACGGCAGGCCAACAGCAGATGCGAAAATAGGAGAAGGCGAGTTGCTTCGCAGAAGCGAAAGTTTCTCGGAAGAAGCGAGCTCGCAGAAGCAGAAATCCTGGCCATAAGTGAAATCCGCACCTGCGATGGTTTTTCCGCAGGTGCGGCATTGCATGTTCGACTGAGGCCTCGCAGAAGTGACTTCACTGGGCAGAAAAGGCCTAATGTCGAGGGTTTGATCTCACTTTGATTTCTGGACCTAGAGAGCTCGGTTTGTGGCGATATTTTGATATATTTGCAAGGAAATCATTGGGGTAAGAAACTCTCACTCGGTTTTGGCTGTATTACACGAATATATTATTGTTTTTATCATTTAATTAGTGTTCTTAGTTGGAAATTTGAGGAAAAATTGGGAAAACGTTTTAGGCTATAATTTGGGGATTTGAAAGGCGATTTGAGGTCGGATTTGAGTAATTCTTGTATGGTTGGACTCGATATCGAATGGTTGTTCGGATTTTATAATTTTGTTCGGATTTTGAGACATGGACACGGGTCGACTCTTTGGGGCGATTTTTTAATTCTTTGCTAAAGTCATAGATTTATTATTTAAATTAGTTTCTTATAGTTATATTTATAGTATGTAAATGGTTTGGCTAGATTCGAGCCAATCGGAGTTGGAAAGTCAAGGGAAAAGCATTCTTATTGATTGATTGAGCGAGATTTGAAGTAAGTGACTTGTCTAACCTTGTGGGGGGGAGGGGAGAGAACTCCCCTTACGTTTTGGTACTGTTATGGTATTTACAATACGTGAAGGCCATGTACGCGAGGTGACGAGTGCGTACTCGGGTTAAATGTTAAAAATCCAGTTCTTACTAAGTAGTTTCCTTTTAATTCCTTAACTGAGTTACTCTAGCATGTGTAGTCATCATGTTTAGCCTAATGTCGCATGTCTACGTGTCTTATCTCTTACTTGCAATTTGTGAAACATGCTTAGTTGGATTACCTGCTTCCTTGATTTTGTATTCAGTCTTTAACTGTAGGATTCCTTGCTGTAATTTCACTGTCCCATTGGTTATCTGTTGCATATTTACTTTTGGGACTACAAGGCAGTACCTCGGGAGCGCCCTTGTTGTGTATTTACTTTTGGGACTACGAGGCGGTACCTAGGGAGATCCCTTGTTGCATATTTACTTTTGTTACTACGAGGTTGTACCTCGGGAGTGCCCATGTTATTTATTTACTTTTGGGACTACGAGGCGGTACCTTGAGAGTGCCCCTGTTGTTTATCTTTATTTGTTGTGTTGTTATTTTTCTGTAATTTCTCATTATTCACTTCTCAGTTATTTCATTATATAATTATATCTTCTGTCTTGTTTCCTATTATTTCCAGTAGGGCCTTGACCTGACCTCGTCATTACTCTACTGAGGTTAGGCTTGGCACTTACTGGGTACCATTGTGGTGTACTCATACTACGTTTCTGCACATGTCTTTGTGCAGATCCAGGTACATCTTACCAGCCTCAATATTAGTGCGCAATGTTGCTGCTTTGGAGACTTCAAGGTACACCTGCCCGAGACCGCAAGCCTCAGAGTCTCCTTCTATTCTGTTCTTTTCTTATTTCTTTATATTTTGATAGACAGTGATGTATAGGATTATTCGGTGTTGTACTTAAAGCTTGTGATTTATAATATCTCACCAGGTTTTGGAATTTTATGTATTGAGTTTTAGTAGATTCCTTTTATGAAATTGTTGGGATATTCAAGTTTTAATCTCTTATTTAATATTTCTGCGTATTGTTTAGGCTTACCTAGTCGTAGAGATTAGGTGTCGTTGCTATATCCCACGGAGAAAAATTGGGGTCGTGACACCATCTTGGTTAATGGGTGCCAGATTGAGTCCTTCAAGCATATTTGGGGTATTAGGCAAGGAGACCCTATTTTCCCTATCTTTTCATTATGTGTATGGAGAGACTCTCAAAACTCATTGAGAATGTTGTTTCTACCAGAAAGTGGTTCCCAATCAGTATCAACAGGCCCGGTCCCAAAATCTCTCACATCTTCTTTGCTGACCAATACTAGAAACTGTGACACCATCATCAACACCATAAAGTCTTTCAATTAAGCCTTTGGTTATAAAATTAACTTAATTAAATCTAGAGTGTTCTTCTCATCTAACTGCAAACCTGACCAGGTGGAGGCTCACTCTACCAATCTTTTAATTGAAGCTGTCACCTTCTTTGGAAAATTCTTGGTCTTACCAATTTTTCACAAGATACCAACCAACAGTGATTTCCAATTCATCATTAATAACATGCAATCTAAGCTGGTTGGCTGAAAAACCATTTACCTCAACATCTCATGTAGAACTACCCTAGCAAAAACATCCGTGAGTAGTATCCCAAATCATGTCATGCAATTCATTCAACTACTCTCCCACACCACTAAATTGATTAATAGAATTCAGAGAAACTTCATCTGGGGCACCATCCCAAATAAACAAAATATATATTGTATGATGGGAGATTGTAACCAAGCCTGAAAACTTGGGAGGTATGGGCTTGCAAAAAGTTGAGTGCAAGAATAAAGCAATCCAAGCAGGCCTAGCTTGGAGGATATACCATAATACATCCTCCTTGTGGGCCAGAATCCTAATTTCTAAACACTGCAACTGAACTCGCATACCCAAGAAAGATAAATCTCTCATTTGTAAATACATTTTCAAGGGTTGGGATACATGTAGGGAGGCTGCTAGATAGGTAGTCAACAAAGGGGATAAAGGAAATTTCCTTAATAATGCTTGAATTCCAATAATAAATCCATTAGGAGCAAGATTGAGGGACCCCTCACCACAAATGATCAAGGTGGCCACTATCTACAATAATGGTGCTTGGACTACTTCTTCCCTCTCAATCATTGTCCCTAACAACATCATGAACTTAATAACCTCCACTTTCATCCCAAACAATGCAACTAAGAAAGATAAGATGACTGGAGCCTAAGAAGTAATGACATTTTCAGTACTAAGTCTGCCTACCTGTATCTGAGACAACTAGGCAAAATAATAACTTCAACTGGATTTGAAAACTCAAAGTGCCCAATAAGCTCAAGACTTTCTTGTGGCTCCTGCACCATGACAAACTCCCTACTAGAGCTTTCCTCCAGAAAATTGATATCAATTATAACCCCATTTATTGCTTATGTTTAACAATTTGTGAAACAACTTTACACCTCTTCTTTGACTACCCCAATGCAAAGTTTTTCTGGCATAATCTTACCATTCAAAGCACACTTGTTTATCAACAACAACGCCTCATCTTTACAAGCCAGTCCTGGTCAAACACATGGACCAACCTTAGGAAAAGCCTTTAAATAACAATTTATCTTGGGAGGCTATTTTTCCTTTCTGCTTCTGGCATATCTAGCTTACCAGAAATAACAATATATTCAATAAAAGAAAATATCCTACATCTGTCCCCAATACTATATCAAAAGCCACTAAATATCATGTTCTAACGGATAAGGAATCAGTAGGAAAAGTGACAACTATTTGGATTAAGTGGGAGCCCCAATATGGGGCATTATAAACTTAACATTGATAGGGCAGCACTAGATAATTCAGGAATATGAGGAACTGGGGGGTGTTTTCACGATTTCTCGAGGTGACTGGGTCCTAGGATACATAGGAAGCATGCCACACACCACAAATACTCATGCTAAACTAACTTTTTTTTTTGCGGGGACTGCAAATTGCCGAACAAAGGGGCCTCACACCTCTGGAAATAACCACTAATTCTACAGAGATTATAAGGATGCTTAAAATGAAAAACGATACTTATGATTCTATTATCTCCGAATGCAGGTTGCCAGTCCAAAGTATGGGCAGGACAGTGATGAAACACATCTACAGAGTATAGAATAGAGTCGCTGATCTGCTATGTAAGGAAGGAGCCAGGAAAAAGAAATTTGGGAAGACGACTATGCTGGTAGTTTCTCCCGTGTTTGCAAATAAAGTTTTTTTGAGGTAGATGTCCTACCAACTAATTTTCCTAGAACCATTTTGGAATGTAATATTGATAGGCTTAATACTATGGCTCAATTTCCGGTGGGATGCAAATTCCTCCTCTGATGTACCTATTTCATCCGTTTAGCTATTTAATATTATCAATTTCTTTAACAAAAATATAAAAAAAGAAAAGAAACAGTTAGTACATATTATTATAGGATCGTTAATATAAGAAAAATCTACACGGTTAAAGTCTTGAATTAGACATCCATAACGTGGATTGGTTGGAGTAGGGTGCTTAGGTGGAAGGGCATAGGTTTGGACGGGCAGGTGAAAGACAGAGAAATGGATAAATGTCCTTAGCCACCTAGCTAACCAGCTAGGGGAGTATCTCTTCTCCTTGGCTCAGATGGAGTTTCTTCATAGAGTAGATCGCCAGATTTAACATGACACGCATTGTTACTCACGCTACGTGTCTGCCTTCTCCGCCCAAAATTAACCTCCTCCTTCCCCTTTTTTATTCCCCTTTTCCCTCTTATTCCTCCCTTCCATTACTTCATCTCTCTCTCTCTCTCTCTCTCTCTCTCTGTAACACTATAACACATCCCCATTTCATTCTTGAATCTTTTTTCATGGCTCCTTCCATGGAATCTCAGCAACAGGACCAGCAAAGTCCACTTGTGGGGCCAATTAATGGAAATGCATCTGTCAATAATATTATTCCTGTTGCAGTTGCAGATGATGAGGTTCCTCAAAAATCAAGAGTCACCGTCGTTGGCAGTGGAAACTGGGGTAGTGTTGCGGCCAAGCTCATTGCTTCTAACACCCTCAATTTCAATTCTTTTCACGGTCTGTTTTTCCTACGTCTAAAAATATCCCACATTTTACCATTTCATAATGCAAAACTTTATGTTATTCCTTTATTTTATGTAACTCATGAATTTGTGACATAATTTAGATGAAGTAAGGATGTGGGTGTTTGAGGAAACACTGCCATCTGGTGAAAAACTCTCCGAGGTCATCAATCGAACCAATGTAATTCCCCTGTTTACTCTATTTTAATAACGAATTTTATGTTTTCTAATGTTTCATGTTTGTATTCTAGAGATCAATATTTAAACCGGTTGTTTTTTCTTTTTTTTTGTTTCACAGGAGAATGTTAAATATCTTCCTGGTATAAAACTAGGTAAAAATGTTGTTGCAGACCCTGACCTCGAACATGCAGGTATTTATTACCCATTCTCACTTATTGTTGTTGTAGTAGTTGTTGCGGGTGTTTTTATTTTTATTTAATTTTTCTTGCTAATTATAATTCCATTTGTTTCATTTTATATGAAACAAATAAACCGTATAAAAAGAACGCAGGGAGTATTATGATTATGGTCATTAATGCTTTTGGAATGGTTGCTGCTTTGAAAGAGTAATAGATGAGCTTAGAATATCGTGGAAGGTAGTGTGTGGAGTTTTAGTTTAGTTCTTTTTTAACAGTTTACAGTTGGGGAAATTTTGCAGTGAGGGATGCTAACATGTTAGTGTTTGTCACCCCTCATCAATTCATGGAGGGCATATGCAAGAGGCTAGTTGGAAAAATTAGGAAAGATGCTCAAGCAATTTCCCTAATTAAAGGAATGGAGGTCAAGAGGGAAGGACCATGCATGATCTCTACTCTCATCTCTGAAATTCTTGGGATCAATTGTTGTGTTCTATGTGGAGCAAACATTGCTAATGAGGTTAATATTGCTGGAAATTATTGTACATTTTAGTATTTTGTCAACCTAGCATGAATGTAGCTAAGATTTTCACCTACAGATTGCAGTTGAGAAGTTCAGTGAAGCAACAGTTGGATATAGGGAGAATAAAGAGATTGCAGAGAAATGGGTTCGCCTATTCAATACTCCTTACTTTATGGTGTCAGCTGTGAGTATAGATAAACCTGCATTTGGAAATATTGCTAGTTTTGAGCTCTTTTGACATCTAAATTGGTCAGCCATTCTCTAATAACTTCCATTTAAACTAATGGAAATAGGTCCAAGATGTGGAAGGAGTCGAACTTTGTGGAACTCTGAAAAATGTTGTGGCTTTAGCGGCAGGTTTATATACTTGTACTTCTATTGTCATGTATCTTATCATTAGTTGATTTTACCTTTTGAGTAATGGAGAATTTAATTTTGTGATATGTCAGGCTTTGTAGATGGCCTAGACATGGGAAATAACACTAAGGTAGTCGCTAGAAAGATATTAGATGTCTATATTTAAAGGAAATCGAGTAATTATTCCTCTGATTAACAAGTCNTAAAGTAAATAGAGTAATTATTCCCCTTATTAACAAATATTGTTTGTTTATAAACGACATAACAGGCTGCAATAATGAGAATTGGCTTGAGAGAGATGAAGGCTTTCTCCAAGCTATTGTTCCCTTCTGTTAAAGATAATACATTCTTTGAGAGTTGTGGGGTAGCAGATCTAATAACTACTTGTTGTAAGTATGCATGCAGTTTTCGTTCTACTCGTGAATATCATTTTCACATGGTATCATTAATAAATAATCGTACATGATTTTATATGCAGTGGGAGGAAGAAACAGGAAATGTGCTGATGCTTTTGCAAGGAATGGAGGAAAAAGGTTTTCGCTCTTGTTAGCTTCCTCCTTAATGTAGAAAGAAGACAATGTGCTAATTCTTGTTTCCACTCGGCTTTCTAGGTCTTTTGATGAACTTGAAGCGGAGATGCTGCAAGGCCAAAAACTGCAGGTATTTAAGTTTGACATTGATTATCTGTCAGTTGTTGAAAATGCATATACATGTTCAAACACAAAAGTAGAAAACAGGGTATACGGTCTGGGCTAAAGATTCTTCATTCTAGCTTCTTTAAAACAAATTATTGATGTTTATCCACTGCTGCAACTTTTTTTACACCTGCAAGTTGATAACTTTGCTATGTTGTTTTTAAAATTTTTTGAAGGGTGTCTCTACAGCAAAGGAGGTTTACGAGGTTCTAAGTCATCGAGGATTGTTACAATTATTCCCCCTTTTCTCTACGGTTCATGAGATCTGCAGTGGTCGTCTTGCTCCCTCCGCCATAGTTGAATATACTGAGCACTCAGCCAGATTACCTTTGCTGGAAGGTTCAGCTCACTTGAACTGATATTCAAAGACATGAAGTCAATATATCTAAGATACTCCAGATTTTGGTTTTATCAGTTCTTGCTTCTTCCTTTGTTTTCCCCCTTTAAAATTAATAGTAGAATTTGAAGGTGGGGTTGGTGTCCTCTTCATTAGCCATCAGCAATATGATGCCAAGGAATCATAGGGTTTGAATTATATTATATTGATTCTTCAGGTTTTCTCTTAGTTATGGCAATTGGGAAGATTCAATCATCCTCACCTTTTGATCACTATTGTTTAGTTGAGTTTTCCCCCTCTTATTATCTAGTAATAATTCCACCCAATGAAATTAACTAGTTAAAAAAAATAGGAAAGAGTAAATTTATGACATTACTCTGATTCAAGCACTAATTATTTTAGAGGATTTTTACAGACCAATGCATATCTTGAAAACCATATAAATAATAACCAACTCATTTCATTCTTTACCACACCATCAAACTTCAAGGAAATTTTATAATTTTGGTTCAAGTATCACCCCGTTCGTATTCTTTCGATTCTATCAACACTCTTCCGAGATCTTTCTAATTGGTGATCAATGCTTTTCCTTGATTTTTCAGTGCAATCTACACTTCTTCGAGATCTCTCCATTTGTGCAATTGAGACCCTTAGTTTGTCTGTAATAGCATTACTTGAATGATTCTTTAACTTCTCAGGCCTGTCTGTACTGTGTCTTGGTTTTTCTCTACGGTCAGTGCTTTTTCTTGAAGCTTCAAAAACATCTGTACTCTTCCTAGGTGGCTCAAACTGGTCTGTGCTTTTCCTAGAACTGATCCTCTGTGATGGGGACCTTTCAATAGTTGCTACAAACTTCTTTAGGTGTCTGATATACTCTGGATAGAGTTCCAAGTCACAGTGGTTCCCTCCTTTGATCCATAAAGGCTCATACTTCTCCTTGCATAGCTCCCAGAGCTGCTTGCCATGTGAAAAATCAACTACTTCATCTGCAGTTCCCTGCATAACAATTAACACACAGGCTAAACACGGTAGAATCTTTGCGATGAGCGTCTCTCGAAAGGCTAAACACGCACCATAATTGACTATCGAATGACAGGTAAATGGATAATTCAACATTTTTTTAGTTTAGTCAAAAGGTAAATGCCACACTTACATGAATGATGAGCACCGGACAATTAACCGAAGGGATCTTGTCAATATTCTGCAACACAATCAAGAAAGCACTTCATTTAGTAAGGTAGAAACCCCCCCAACCTTTCACATCCATAAATATAAATACAACCATATATACATTTGTAAATACTATGAGCGATGAATACTACCTTGTAAATGTCAAACCAGTATGTGCGCTTGACAGGATACATGACTCGTAAACCTGAAAGAAGGGGACTGTGCAGAATGACTGCCCTTAATCGTGGCAGACGAGCTGCAAGATCCAAAGTGGGCCCACTACCAACTGATTGGCCATAAAGGATAACATCTTCCTGCTTTGTACCATAGTTTTCTTCAAGGCACTTATATGCAGCTTCAATATCTGCATAGGTATTCTGCTCGCTTGGCTGCAAATAGCAAATACAAGACATCATAAAATATCGTCAAATTTTATTATGTGCAAAAAAGCAAAGCATATTATACGATTTAAGCCAAGTTATGAAATGATGTTCAAAGCTACATACCTTACCAGTTGAATGGCCATATCCAGAATAGTCATACCTACATAAAATTAAGTGGCATTAGGAGTATCATCTGCTGCCTTTTTCCTTTTTCTTTAGCTTTTTTGGGTGGGGAGCGGGTAGGGGGTTGTAAGTGGCTAATACACTAATTGGCATGTTTGACTTAATGTTAGTTTTAACACAAATTGGGTGATAGAGGAAAATAGGAGCAAATCTTTTCCAGTTTTATAATTGAGACCTTTAAAGTCAGTTGACGGCGTGAAAACATTTCCTGATGTCAAATCCCAAAATGAGCGAGAGGTTCCACACTTCTTTGATCCATCTTAGGATAGGTATGAGAACATCTAGACTTTCTGGTATCAAACTTGACGCAGTTTTAGGTCAATCCAATAATACCTTTATTGGGAGTTGAAATCAGACTGATTTAAATTACCTTCGATTCCAAGATAAAAGAGTTAAAGACTTCGAGTTAGTAAATGATGTATATCTTTATTTTACCCTTGGCCCTAATGGTTTACTAGCAGACTTTTCAAACTAAGACTTGTTCAATCTTACGGTAACTTGTGATTTTAGCCAAAAATTAATAGGGAAATACTCGAAGTTAATCCATATTACTTAGATTAAAACAATTTAATTGTGTGTCTGAATTTCTTTAACAGATCCTCAGATTAGGAGGAGGCATGATTTTAGACCTAGACCAGGACTACTAGCCAAGTAAATGTCATCACAAAGTGGACAAGTAAATGTCATCACAAAGTGGACAGTAAAGATTATTGCACATATTTATGCTAATGCATATTAATAAACTCATATATACCTGCAGATACATCACATAGAGGGTAGACAGGCTGCAGTGACAGCATCATATTTTTTAGCCTAATGCACACACAGTCTGTCTACTTTGAACCCTATACTGAAACGTCTTCAGAAAATTTGAATCACTCACAAGCTTGAGTTCTGGCGTCAACATCATCTCAGGACCAGCAGATTACCCTCTGCTACTGGACGTCTATATCCATTTGAAATTGGAAATCTGAGAAATAGCTAACTGACAATCTGACATGGCTATGTATTTTATCCTACTCCAAGACTAGAGATTAGTTTTGTTAAGGGCGTCAATATGACAAAGGCACTTTGGGAACATTTAAAGAAACACAAAGATCGGTGACTAACCTACAAAGCACAGCTCTAATCCAAAGTACAAAAATCCATCAAGGTTCAACTAGTAGTCTTTTTGAAGCTTAATCTGTCCAGAAAATCAAAGAAACTCAAATTTACCAGTGATAAACTTGAGTTTTGTGGTCACTAGCCTCGCAAAAGTAACGTGCCATGTTCAGAAACTTCCTTGAAGTTGGCTTTAACCATATCTTTTATCATCAAAACACAAGCGTAACAGATAGTCCAAGTCGAAAAGTCAAGTGTTAATGAAGATTGAGGATTTGGGATGACACGAACCCAGTAATGTCTAACATTAGAGCTACTTAGAAGCCAGTGGTACTTCTAGGTAAGGGATGGAAAGAGGTAAACTTAAAATGAAAATAAGACAGTTGGATAACATTTTTAACTACTGACTACTATCAGCTAAATCCTGTCGGTACGAGGGATCAAACAGAAACTGGCCATGACAGATGACAAATCCAGCAATTCTGTATATCATCTAAACTTGAATAACCACTCAAAACAATACCACGACAAATAACAAATCCAGCAATTCTGTATATCCTCTAAACTTGAATATCCTCTCAAAGCAATCAATACCAATATTGGATAGCTAAGAAATAAAAGTAATCCAGTGTCAGGATCTAAAGTGGTAATTCTTGTTTCCCTCTCTTCAAAGAAAAAAGTATTAGCTGCCAGGATGACCCAAAAACTGAAAATCCGAAACTACTAGAAACTTCAGTTAACAAACACGAAAACTAACAACTATTACTACTACACCTCAATCCTAAACCAGTTAGGATCTGCTATATAAATCTTGTATTCCACTCCACGCTATTTGGACCCAATTGAATTAATAGTCCCACTACGCTTAAGGGGTGCTTCAGTGTAGACAAGGTACTAAGGCTGTGCGCACTCATTGCCCATGAGTTATATCTTGAATGGAGCGATACTAGACACGAATTATAATCGGCAGGTAAGAGTATTAATTACTAAGGAAAATATTATGAATGAATTCGTAACTATTTCTTAAATTACATGCGTATATTTATCCTTTTCCTTCATTGTGTCTTTTTTTACTAAGGGCCACATTTATATTGCGCTTAAAGTCCCAATAGACCTGGAGCACTTTTTAGAGTTTTACTTTGACTACACTGCATATAACATGGCTAAACATCTAAAACATACTCTTAACTACTCCCTCCGTTCCAATTTATGTGAACAACTTTTGGAATTAGTGGTACTAAACAATTCAAAAAGGGGTCCAGAATATTTATGTGGTTATAAAAGTTTCTCATTAAGGGTAAAATTTTAAGTTTAAACAAAATTATTTCCAAATTTAGAAAGGGGTCATTCTTTTTGGAACGGACCAAAAAGGAAATAGATTCACATAAAATGGAACGGAGGTAGTAATATGTATTGCCTATATTTGATCTTTTTCTACCCAATTCCATTCCAATTCTAAAAAAAATGTTTTTTTAAGCAAATTGAGAATCTAAAACTCGAGGGTTTTAAAATCTCACATTTATCCCTAAACTAACATACAAGTATTTAACTTGCTAAAAAAAAACCTTGCAATCACGGAACCTAATGTAAATGTAACAACAGACTAACTTTTAATCCCTAATTGGTATATCCTTTCTGTAAAATATCAAGAATTTTTCACAAAGATAAGGAGAACGAGAAAGAGAAAGAAAAAAAGAGAGAGTAAAGTTTACCCCAAGAGATTGACGCGCAAGTGAATGCTCAATTCAACGAAAAGCTCATACATCTGACCCAAGTCAGCAGCATTTCCATGGGAATACAGTAGAGTGGAGGTAGCCATAGGGTGCCTAACGTAAAGAGCAACTATTTCAGTACCTTTGCGAGTGGGCAACTTAAGGACTTCAACATTTTCACGGTGAGGAAAAGGGCTAAGAAGTAAAAGACCCGTGAGATCATCTTTAACAAGCTTGTAAGAAGGTGGGTTTGGAGGGAAAAACGCGAACTTCGCCGCCATTGATGAGGTTACCCCTCCCATATTCACTTCTTCTTTTTTTCTGAAACTGTGTATACTACTGGTAAAGATAAAGTTGTTGATTTGGGGGATTTAGCAGAAGAATTGTGATTAAGTGCTTAACATGGAAATATTGTACTAGTAGTGTTTAATGGTAAGATTTCGAGGTGGGAGCACAAGGGGAAGTTTAGAACTGGATCGACATTCCTTTCCATTTATACTTCTTTCTCTTTTTTGAGAATTTCTAGAAGAAGGGACTTTACACACTGGAATTTTTACTGTGGTTGACTAAACGACTAAAGCCGACAGAAAACGTGGAATATAATGTGGTTATTGGTCGGTCATGGATCCCTCTCTCTCCATTATTATATGTTCTTTTTTTTTTTTTTCTCCATTTGGAAGGGTGAAGCCGGGTATTCAAACTCGTTAAAAAATTATATTATATATATAAAATTAAAATTAAATTTTTATGTATAAATAATAGATATTGAATTCACTTATCTTATTTATATGCTTACTTTTAAAATTTTCAAATCCCCTTAGATAAAAATCTTAACTCCATCATTCCCTGAAATAATGTAAAAGATATATCAAATGGAAAAGACTATAAATGAAATATTGATATTGATATTGAAGTTTACTGGTCGTAACTTTATTTTACATTTGGAGCGGTGCATGGTTTTAAGTTCATGGAAGACCTTCCCTTCCTCCTACTTCTTTCTCATCCTATTTAGAGACTGACCTTTCCATTTAAAAAAAACTTAGAAAAGGTAAAAAAGGATGATACAAGTCCTTGCCATCTTCGGTCATTAGTTAGATTCTAAAAAATCGAAAAAAACAATAGGCAATAGCATTTAAGAAAAATCGCAACTTCATAGTCTTTGATTTGGGAGCCAAGATTTACTCTATGAAAGCCCTCTAGCCACTTCCAAAAGATAGGAAAAATGACCAAAAGTATAAAACCATTGGTTATGTCTCGAATTACAAGGAACCAACCTCGTTCTAAAAGTAAAATGCGTATCGTTTGTGCAGAATGTCCGGAATTACAGCAGATGGGTAAAAGTGGCACTAGAGAAGGTAAGATGTCTCTTCCCCTGCCTAAAAAACTGCTACTAATCATTGCCATGATTCTCTGCTTAAAAGAGAAAGTTGATTCATCTCCTTTTCTTTTTCTGGTCATCAAAAGAAGAAAAGAGTATAGCTCATCCACTGCACCTTTCCACCTGCTTTGTAGTAATTGAGGCGGAAAGAGTAAAGGTTTCTCACAAATCCAAAGGCTGCTTTCCCTCTTTATCTTCACTTCTCTTGCCTTTTCCATTTCACTCAATCGGTTAACTTCTTAATAATGCAAGCCTTGATTAATTAAATACCACATTTCTCAGAAGCTTGAGAACTAGATTGCAGCCAGTGGCTAAGATACCCCCTCGATGAGGAGTGTCATCTGACATACTTGAAAATAATATGAAGTAAACATCAATTAGAACAAATAAAACTTTAGAACCTCAACAGTCCCAACAAATCTACATACAAGTTGATTTGTGATAATAAGTCGACAACCGTTTGTACAAAATTCTGAGTACACCACAGATTGCAACTCAAGGTTATTTCATTTTAGTTCATACGTGATTAAGAGCTTACACCAGGCCCCGATAATATGATTGTTTTCTCACATCACCACATTGTTGGTTGGTCATCCTCTGTTTGGTCCACAGTACAGAATCACAATCCCAAGAACTACAAGTCCACAACATGAGAACAAGGAGTACAAGTCAAACCAACAGATTGGTGTCATCACTCATGAAGGCACCATAGCCCCCACTCTAATACTGCAAGAAGATGCGGCTCCATTAACAATATCTATTACTACAAGACAAGGGCAGTTGAGGCTTCTCAATCATATGTATAAGGAAGCTAACACTGAAAGTAAATGCATAAATACCACAAGTAAAACCGAATTTCTACTCTGGCACTAGGAGACACCAAAACTTGGTTAGTTTTCACTTTAGGTCAGGATAACTTGATGCCCTAGGAAATGTGAGGTGATGAATTCACTTGAATGACAAAATAAACACACACACTTAAAAACAGCAGGGAGAAAACGGGTACAAACAGCGCAGACAGCGGAAAAGAGAAGTTAGCAGCTTCTCAGTCTTTTCCTAATCAAATTCTATCACCTGGGGCCATCAGTACTTGGTTACTGAGGTAGTTGAGACGTGAGAGATCTAGTCGCACTACATCTACATACAATACTACCTGCATAATTGAAAATTGTAGATCACGTTTTACCATGTCGGGAACCATCCAACAGCGACGTGTTCTTCTTCATGATGTGCGCAAGAAAACTGTGCCACAAGAAAGGTTTCTTGAACGAAACTAACCTTTGAAAAGTGAAAGAAATCTCCCCTAGCCTCCCTAGGCTGAACAAGACAACCGCCAAACTGAAAGCGATAAGGCACTGAGCCAACTAAAACAAGAAGATAGCATCCTAGAAATCAGATAAAGGAAACTGGAGGCTATGCAGAAGCAAGCCCATAGTAGGAATGAACCACTTCACCAGTCAAACAACTTACTTTAAGTTTATCTATAAGGCACTAGCTAGCTTAAGCAAATGTTTAGGCGATTAAAGGTACGTCACATAAGTTTAGACCACAAGATTGGCAAGAATATCAGAATACTTGTGCTATGAAAAATTAAAGCTGCAGACAAGAAATCTGTTTGGATCCCCGAGAGAGATTTCCAAAGATATGGGAGCAGCTATATAGAGAGGGGACAAAGAGAGCTGAAGATCAAAGAAGAATTCAGTGCCTTTAGTTCCTTATGCTTTCCCAGAACTTTGATCTACTCATTTATTTACCATGATTAAGTTGGAATGGCTGGGATCTTCGCCACTCTTATTTTTGTGGTCAAACTTTGTCCACTTCCCCAACTAAAAAAGTCCCATATTGTATGTGTTCATCATCCATGTGAATATAAGCGAAACCTAAATGGCCACGATCATAAACCCCTTTTACAAAATTGGCCAAGGGTATACGCAGATCATAACCGTCTTATACAAAGGTTTGCTAGTTGGAATCTTATTCTGGCAAAATCTTAACATCCTCTACATATGTAGATAGAGAGATAGATACACACATTTGTGACCGAAAGAGAAGACCCAAACACATTTCCATGTGTGTCTCTGGGAGAGGGTGATGCCGCTTCCAGGGAATTGTTTCTTTGGGGTCGAAAGACAGTAAAATCATGGATAATGCCTGCCTGTTTTGCATATTTGAAATGAAAACATGTTATTCCTCTTTGTTTTCTTCGAGATATGAGGCATCTTACAAAAATATTTCTATTTCAGGAAAAGACAATAAGAACACAGCAAATCCATGAGCAGTTTGTACCTTCAAAGTATCTGTACAGGGCAATCAAAAATCAACTTCAGACATACACATAGATTCAACTACGAAAGGCTATTAGAATTTCCGACATAGATTTGTGCAATAAGACTTCACATACAGAAAAGTAAAATCCATAAGTTTCACAAGACAAACACTCAACAATTTCTTTAATCTAGATCAGTAAGCAAAAATTTAATTTAAATCCAAAAGCCAAACACTAAGTGCTGGATATTACATAAGAGCTTACCATTTACACTGCTTTCATGTAATGAGCATATAAACTTACCAGGCTATCCTCATCATTGACAAAATGTAATACCAGAGAGTCTATGGACAAAGTCTCAACATTTTATCATAGAGAAGAAGTGAAGAACAAGGAAAGGCGATGATGCAAAGCTGATATCAGTCAAGAACAATAATTTCTTCAAATAAATGATAAGATGCTTGACAACTCACAATACAAAGGGACAAAATAGGAAACAAACAAAATCAGTGAACGCTCATTTCACTTATTAATCAAAATAGATATTGGAAGGACAGAAGGAAACAAACAGAGATATGCTTTATAGGTATTAATACGAAAACCCCAAACCTGAAGATTATTATGTGTACTCCAAGAGCTAACACAACTGTAAAAGGATCAAATGCATAATGTGATAAAAATTGATACACTGATGTTACATTGAGAACATAGGATTAATGCCCCTAGTTTGTGAATTCGTTTGGCAACCTTTGTCACAATCTTTATCTGCATATTCTTGCAAAACTTTGAAGGCTAAGCAATGGGAATTCTAAAAGTTTCCCGGAGAAAATAGAAATGTCTCCTACGTTACCCATAGTATGTGGAAGTATCCACGTAATTTCATAGTCATTCAATATGAATGCTAATTGGGCTCTTCAAGCAAAGGCTTCATTATTTCTATACCCATTTATATGTCCCAGCATGTATACGGGAGCTTTTCCCATTATAAAAAAAATTCTTATCATCTCTTCCAGTAGCTTGCTACATTTAGCAAATGTTATGGTCTTAAAATTGTAAGAGAGGCATTCAGTCTCATTTTCTTCTAAGTTTCTGATCTATTACATGATCAGTTTATTCAGTACCCAAGAGCTAGAAGCTCCACTTTTTGGCATGCTCGCTGCACTGTGGACCAAACAGGAACTTTTACACATAGTATTAGCCTTAAATACTAAATGGTAGAACGAGGTGCTTCAAGAAAATACCTCTTCATCCATGCTTTTGGTGCAAATTTTCTAGACTTCCTCAACTCACTCAAAATGTAATCGATAATCTGAGTGTTGTTTTTGCTCCTATTATCATCCCATCATGCACTTTTTGATATAATAAGATTTTTCATTGCAGGCATCCAGAAGATGTAAAGTTACAAGAAGGAATTGAGTTAGCTCCATTCATCCCAACATGCTCTTATTGCTGGGATATATCCTTTACAACAGTAAATGTACTTCTTATCAAAATAAATATAACTTAAGTTGGATTGCCTAAACAGAAAAGTTCATAGCTTTTAGACGTTAAAGCAGCAGCAAAGATGCGAAAACAAATTATGAGCCACCTGAAAAAAGATTATGTATTATCTATGTTAGGCTGTAACAATCTCATCAAGTACAGGATAATGAGCATCCCAAGCACACACATCATTCTATGGCTCGAACAAAGTAAATTTCAATTATTCCTAAAACTAGGTTCAGCAATTTCTTCGACCAAAATTGTCGATAGACCAAAAAAAAATTACATCTTTAACCATAGCTAAACACGACAAATGCAGCCTCAACGAGAAATTCCTCACCAATGACACAATGGTAAAATACACTATGTCTTCCTCCTGAGGCGCTTCCTTAACTTCTTCAACTTGTGTTTATTCATTTTCCTCTTCCTTTTC